CAAATGGCATTTAAATGCTGGCAGCATGTGTTCCAAAAAGTTCTACACGCCTCCAAGCCAACAGCATGAGCATAAGGGAAAGAAACGTAACAGAGGGTAGGGAGGAGTATAGTACACGAGCAATGCTTAGTTGCATTTCAACTGTACCATATTTATGCCTACAGGTGCTTGTCCACTTCAGTCCAAAGAACACCCCAATCCCTCCGCCCAGCACAAATAGCCAGTTGCAGCAGCAATGCAGCAGTTGATGAGTGTAAAACATTTACATTTCCATTGAGCATGAACTGAAGAGTCTCAAGTCATTTTCTAACTAATATTTAAGCCTTCTGAGCTTTTCATGCTATTCAAATACGAAAAACACAAGGATAACTGTTTCTGTCTCAGTTTTAATATCTTTTGACATGTGGCTTTGCTTTTTTGGTAGAGTTGTAAGTCTCTAGAGAATATCTCTGATAGGAGGATAACTAAACCAATTCTTCCCTTAAATGCTGATCATGAATCAACTGAGTATTTTGTATATATACAATATATTTAAGAGATCTGACCTTAGTTAATATGCGCAGCTGAGTGTATGCACGAAGCATAAACACTTGAAAAATCAAACAATATTGGACAATAAGTTAAAGTGCTTGTTATCTTAGACATAAGTCTATTAAACTAGCACATAAACACCACTCAACATCTTGCTAGGGTAGTTTTATGGTTTTTTATTGTTCAGCATGCAATGCTTCGACAAACTCGAGCAAAATGGAGGTTTACTGATGAAATCTCGACGCGCAGCAAAATGCTGCTGCTGCAATGTCAATCAGCTTAGCGTCATTCGATGGCTGTCAATGGCAATTACGTAAAAGTCAAGTCTTCTACAAATCACAATGCACTCGACTGGAGCTCGCTCTTGGAGATTTCACAGCTCTTGGTTGGCTATGTATATGGTAACTATGGCATAGCTGATGCATGTGCTTCAGAGCTCTGGCAAAGTTCATGTACATCATTTGTCCTCTGCCGCTAATGGAAATCCCTCAGTGGATAGCAGCGGCACTTCGCTTCGTAGCTGGCTGATGTGCATTTGTCAAATAGTTGTGCACAGTTCAGTTCGCAAACGTCCAAACGTGGCACACCTTCACACGCTGTTAGCCAACTGGCAACATGGCAAATCCTCGCAGGATAACTGCACAAAATTCAGTTTGGCGTTCGATTAGTTGCCAAATACTTTGGCCCCAAAATTGATGTCCTACTGGCATGTGGCATGTGACCAGCAGCAGCTGCTCAGCTCAGCTCAGCTGAGCGGGAGCCAGTTTTCTGCACTGATGTGGCACGTTTTATGGCCACAGCCCCAACTTTATCCTCAGACGACAGTGTCAACGTCTGTTTCGAGTCATCCTCATCTTGCGACGTTTCTCACATGTTCGCTGCAATTCTTTTACAATTTTTATATGCCCCTACACTCAGAGAAAAAACGAATTGGAATTCACAATCAACTTTTTTTTTACAACTTTTCATTAATAAAAATATTTTTTTTTTAAGTTAACTATGAATCAAAAATAGAGTATGACTTCAAGATCTTCAAATGCAGCTCTTGGAATAATTTTTATCTTTTGAATGGGTAAATTATTTCAGACTTCTTCTCTTAGTGTATGCACTTGAGTCTGACTGCCCCTCGTTCCGCTTTGACGGCCTTTCTGGCCTGCCACACGCGTCAACACTTGCACCCAATGAGCGAAGAAGTGCTGCATCTTTTGGGCGACAGCTTCGAGTTGCAGCTTATAAATTTGTCATACGGCAATTTGAGCAACATTTTTAAGCGACGTGCAAGTTTGTTGTGGCTCTTGCTGTTGGGTTAATTCGGCAAATGAAGAGCACTTAGTTAATTTATTTATTGATGATATGCCTCTACACACAACCAAAGCCACTTATCCCATATTTAAATATACATTTGGCAAGCTGTTTCGATGAAATCGTTTGCAGTCAAGAAAAAAAAAATAAAGTTTTCAGGGAGTTTCCTGTTGGTTCATTAGCAGTGTTGGAAAACTTGGTAATGTTTGCTGTTGAATTAAAAATCATATTAAAATATTTGTATATTTCGCTATTTAACTTTCTGAACGGGCGCTGATGACGCCGAACAACGTCGTGAAGCGTTCTAATCAACCATTTGCCGCTGCATATGCAAATTTCATGTGTATGTGTGTGTTTGGGTGTGTGTGTATGTTCGGGTGTGTGCGTGAACATAATCACTGCACATGAATTAAAAAGTTTTCGGCATGCAAAAATATTTTGCAGTTTAAAGCAATTTGAAGTCATTTGTAGCCAATTTACAAATGTCTGCCGCTTGCAGTGTGTCTGTGGGTGTGTGTGTGTGTGTGAGTATGTGTGTGTTCTCAAATGCAATTACGTCTGCACACACACACACAAACAAACAGACGCATATGTGGCCATGGCTTTTGTATGCCAATGTAGCTTAGCCTTTCTGTCGTTCAACGTCATGCTATGCCCTATTTTTAAAAGGACCGAGTCAAGTGGGTATAATTCAAGTTAACAGTCAGAATGAAGACCGCATATAAATCTTGGAGAATTTAAAAATTTGTATATAACTATTCCTGGACATCAAATTCTTTCTGTACTTTAGGAAAACTCAAAGAATTTGTTTTATCTTTGTGCAATTTTAAGATTTAAATTCAACTGATTTTATAAAAAGATGTGCAGGGTATCCTCATGGCGATATATATACCTCGGTCTAGTAGTCTATGATTTAATTATGAATACACAATTGATTTTTCTTAGAATATGTATAGAGTATTTGATAGTAAGATAGTACAAAATTGAATTTTTAGAACATTTTTGCAGGATATTTGATAGTCGAGTTCACGCGAGTAAAGCCGACTTTTTTGTTTCGACTTAAATAAGTCATGCTAATGGCAAACCATTAGCGAAAATTTTGCTCGCACATGTGAGCGACTGCGTGTGTGTGAGTATGTGACTGTGTGTGTGTAAGTGTGTGTGTGTGTGTGTGTGTGTGTGTGTGTGTGTGTGTGTGTGTGTGTGTGTGTGTGTGTGTGTGAGAGTGTGTGATAATTAAGTTGCATTTGTAACTGCCATTTGGTTGTGCATATGCACTAATTTTCTGTGTGTGTGTGTGTGTGTGTGGGACGACGGCGACTTTGCTAAATGAAAGAGAAATGCGATTTTGAAGGCTGTTGTTAAATATTTAAATGTATTCCTTGGGCCAAGGCGTGCCAACTATTCTTAACTGCTGTTGTTGTTGTTCTTCCTCTTCTTACTGTTGCAACAGCCACTGATTACACAGCGCTTACATCAAAGCCTAATTGCCAAGTAAGCTAAAAATAAAATGGGCAACAGAGCTGCGAGCTTTCAAGGTGCTGCAATTTGTTGCGAAGCCTTGAAAGCGCTTTTTATAACCAACATTCTGCTTGTTGTTGTGGTTGGAAATAACATATAAAAAAGGGAATGATTTATTCGGAAAAATTGGTTTTACTTTTTATAAATAAAAGGTAAGAGACGAGAAGGTATCCCGCACAACAAATTAAGCAGTTTGAACATCAAGAAGCTCTCTTTCTATACATTTCGCAGCTTCAACTAGTTGGGAATTGCAAGCTTCATTAAAAATAATTGTCATAAAAAAGTTTCATTTGAAATATTGAAGTCTTGTACTCCAAGTCGGCTTCCGGAATGTTATATAATAGAATGACATGAAAGTATAAGGCACAAATCATGAAGTAGTTTGAGCATTAAGAGCCTTTCTTTCTATACTTTTCTGAGCTTTAACTAGCTGAGGATTGCAAGCATTACTTAGCCCAGTTGCCAGAAGCCAACTGGCTTCAACATATAAAATAATACAATTTGCAGCCGCGATCATAACATATATTTTATATTAAGTCTCGTGACAGCAATTAAAATGCCAGTGACAACAATATGAACGTATGCACTTAATACTTCACTTTAATTTACCTTTTAATTGGGCTAATCAACACGCTAATAGCCACTGCTATTAACTTACCCACACACGTATACATGCTGTGCCTGTTTCTGCCTATGGCCATTTGCAGGACATATTTTATTGTTATGAGTTTTGCAGTCGAGTCAAGTGCGGCGCGGCATGTGGTGGTGTAGGGAAGGTGTGGTATGTGGTGCGGCAAAGGGGCCACGTTGAGTGGCTCGGCCGCTTTCAAAATTGCACTTTAATGACTAATTTGGTTTTTGTGCACGCCGCTGGCAGACAGTAGCCAGTTGTCAGTTGCCAGTTTTGGCGAGTGGAGCGAAGTGGAGTTCAGGTCCAGTCAATTAACAAAGCGCCAGAACGAGAGACAAGATATGTACATATCCTTTGCTCTATCTCCCTCTCGCTCTTTGTCTGTGCAACTATGTTCCTTTGTCGCACGCTCGCAAGTGTCGACGGAAGCGCACACTTGAGCTATGACGATACGACATTTCCTTAATGAAGCCAACCAACACGCACACCAACTGAGTGTGTGTGTGAGAGGGCTTTGGGGATGGCCCAGAAAACAGACACGAGGCGGTTCGAGCCATAAAATTCATTTTCGTGCCTCTCACCAAAAGCACGAAAATGTAAGATGAACTTTGAGAAATAGCAACGTCAAAGATTGGCCAATATCAGAATATCTTAAGCTTGCAGGACTTTTAAATAATTGTCTATATGAGTCGTGCCTTTCTTTTTAAAATCAAATTTCTCGTGCCTAGCCTCGGCAATGAAGCCTGCCCATTGCCATCTCTAATGGCCTGCCTAATTGTGTTCTTAGACAATATTTACAAGTGCGCGGGCTCACAGGGCGCAGTCATAAATGTTAACAAACCGAGCTCAGTGTAGCTCGTGAAGTCGTTCAACGTGGCGTATGCGTAGTTATAATAACTTGCAGCTAGATTTTTGCGAGCTGCAGCAATCGTCACATATCAGATGTGATGTCTATCTGTCTGTCTGTCAATTGGGTTGGCAAAGAACAAGTTGAAAAGAATTTGACTTGACTCACCTGAGACCAACAGCTCGCTGGTGCTGTTGACCAAATTGTCCATAATTGGCTGGAATGTGTAGAACGTGAGAGTTTCCAATTTGTTTGCCTGAACATTGATTGACAGGAGCGCGGGTGTTCCGCGCAGCAGGCCATTGTCGATTTTCTTTAGCAAATTATTGCGCAAATTCAAAGTTTTCAAATTGTTCAGGCCGTCCAATGCACGCTCCGAAATGCGCTGTAATGAAAACCGGATATTGGAAATTGATAATTAATTCGCAGATTACTTGGCTTAATACCATACAAAAAGGTATTAATACTTTATTGTAATTAACATTCATAAAAATTAAATACATTTTAAAAAATGTGCGTTAACTGCGAGAGTCTCAACTGCAAATACCCTGTACTGAGAATTTCCTCTGTTTATTTTTTTTAATTATTTATTTTATTTAGATCTTAAATTTGGCAATCATAGACTTGAATGCAACCAAAGTGCAGACTTAATAACATGAAAACACCAATATACAGAAATATATATTTAGCTATAAATATCCACCCTGCCTCAAGATTATATAATCCAAATTTTTAGATATACATGAACGAATCTATGTATATATATTAATATATATTCAAAAATATATATATATCTACTCTGTGTCTCTTAAAACCCATTAAAAACTCCAATATCTTTGTATGAAGCAGGATTAATATTCAGTCTAAGAAAATACTAGAACCTGCATTTCAATGTATGTAATTCCTATTCATATTATATATATATATATATTTATATTATCTGCATCAGATATACATATTCACATTATCTACTCCATTTCTAGCTCTTACAATCCCGGATATATTCTCTAAATTATTTGTATAAAATATTATAAATATCGATTTTAGGAAACTACTATAACCTGCATATTATATATACTAGCTATATAATATTTATACATATTCTTCTTATCTATACAGTTTCTAGCTTTAACTATGCCAAAACGGGCTTCAAAACCATGAAGATAAACCAAAATTTGTCGATTTTAATAATAGAACATATTAAAGTCTCTGGCACCTCAATTATTCACAGGGTAACACTAGCGCCGTCAGTCATCAGTCAATATAAAATGGCAGTCACTTTGGCATTGGCTTTAAATATATTATGTTTAATTGTATTTCTGCTATAATAACATTTTCGTTTCCTGAACTACGATTTTCCCCCCCCCCGTTGCTAACCTCTCGCCATTGCTGCTCGGTTTATGTTTTGCTTGGCCGACCGAGCACACAAAAAAATATTTTCTGCCATTTTTCCGCATTTTTGCGTATTATTTTCACTGGCATTTCTTTTATTTTTTTATTTTTTTTTTTGACAATTTCGCTGCCTCGTTTTCCCGTTTGCCATTGTTATGTTTTCTTTTTTTGTTTATTTATTTATTTATGCATGTGTGTGTGTGTGCGTGTGTGTGACATGTACGCATATATAACATATGTAGATGCATCTTTTTTAACTTGTGTGTTCCAATTCGTTTGCCTTGAATTTTTTTTTATACGGAAAAAGTGTTTCTTTTCGTGAAGGAAGCACGAGTGAAAGTTGACTGTGGCCCTCTATTTCTCTCTATCAGGCGGAGCGGCGTCGTCATTATTTAATATTCAATATGCTTTGTCTAGTGAAATGGATAAATTATGCATATTAAATGCGAACCAGCCGAAAGAGACATGTGCCGTTATCTAGCCCATTTTCACCCTTACCCCATTTCCACTTGCCACAGTGAAGACATTGAAAAACACGCGTACGTGTTGTCAGGGCGCAAATAAATGCTGGTTAAGATACCCCCCATCCATATCATATCACAGTAGTTTGTTTGTTTGCCGATTTCGCTGATTGACATAAAAAGAAATTTATTTTATTGAGATATTTTGTTAGTTTGATGAGCGGCACTTGGCGTTTTTACGAGGCGCCGCCAATTTATCGGTTAGCGACAAAAAAAATGTTATTTATGCGCGCTTCTTATGGCGTCTACGTAAACAAAGTTATGATTCAAAACGAGCAAAAAACATGGCACTACGCAATCAGCAAGCCAAATTGAAAGAGAACTTAAAGCATGGAGAAACTTGTATTATTAATATAAGAATTCCTTTGTAGAAAGAAAGAGCCGTGCTGGGATCGGGGCTAAAGCTACTTTTAATATTGAACAGAATAAGCCTGAGTTGCAAAGCGTTGCGCTAATGAACGTGAAGTCGCCGGTTTGAATTCGTATTTGTAAAATGCAAATAAAAATGATTTATACCTGCCGCCCCGTCACTTTATCAAATTTTATACAAACTATAATGAGGCCGCGTGGCTAAGCGATATGCTAAGAAACGAGAAGTCGCCGGTTTAAAATCGTGAAAATTGGTCAAACGCATATGAAAATGATTTCCACTTGCCGCTACGTCGCCTGCAACTTTAAAAGCTCACCATCATTTTAAGGTTTTAAGCTAAATTAAGGCATGGAAAAATATATTTAAATTTTCTTCTCTTCTTCCTATTAAAGACATACGAGCATCTTGTGCCTGGCTCTCTGCTCGGTGCCCACATGAGCAATTTATAACGATTTTGTAGCTTAAATGCTGTTGCAACACTTTTGCTTTCAGTTTCAAGCCGAAAGCATCCGCTTAGCTGCTTAGCTGTTTATCTATTTATCTCTTTGAGGACTCGGTGACCGCTCAGTTGCTTAGCTTTTTATGTTGTGTCAGACAAAACCCAGGCACCTAAACCTTTTAACAGCAAATGATTTATGAAGTACACAGCAGGACACACACTAGAAGAAAAATGAAATGGATAACCCAAGCAAAACATGCAACGCAATTTGCTTTTATTGAAAAGGACACGAAAAGAAGGAAAGGCATTTTTTGAAGGAAGCAAAACATATGCACACACATGATATGGAATAAGGCATTCAGCAGGCAAATCCAGTCCAGGCCAAAACAATGCGACATAGAGGCGATAACAAGCCCAATCATTATGGCCATAGCTATGACTATGACAATGCCGGGCCTGCTGTTAGAAGCTAACAAGAACATGAAGGAAAGAAGGCTATGCAAGGCACGTCGAGGTTTAAATGCCCTTTTGCACACATATCTTAAGGTCGGATATGCGAGCACACAATATGCGGGTAATTCTGCAGCTTGAAAATTTGAGGGCGAACTTTGGTTAGGATATATAAGAAAAAAAAAAAACAAAGAAAGAGGTTTTCATATAAGGACCATAGTTTCGACAGAACATTTGTAGGACAGCTAGAATACATATTATTCATAGAGTCTGCGTTGTCTCCGACTTCTCCTGTAGAGCTAATGATCGTAAGACTTGACTAATATTCGATGTTTTCAAAGAAGAGTCTTATTTGCGACCGATCATTCGTAGGACAGGTAGAATACATATTCTTTATGGACTCGGCGATGTCTCCATCTATGCGATACACTTATTATGACAAAATTATAATACTCTTTCGAAGGGTATAATAAAGGAGCTACAGTTCGAAGGAGATTGTCGGCATCAGCATCAGTGGTCGCGTCTGCCGCAGAGCAGTCACGCAGAAGATGGCGGCCAAAAACACTTGAGCAACACTTCAGATGAAGTGTGTGAGAATGTGTGTGTGTGTGTGCGAGTGTGTGTTTGTGCGAGCGTCCTACTGGCCTGACACATATGCGAGTTGTCTGGGTGTGACATGATATGCGAGCACTTTGTAAAATGGGAAAAATGAAACACGCAGCAAAATGAAAAGCAAAGACGAGCGACATTGTTGGCCAGGATATGCAGGATTTACGCTTATCGTTGTGCCCACGCTTGTACAGCTGCCGCCACACAAACACCCGCACACGCGCACATATGCATATGAACTTAGCTAACAGAATAGAGTATACGGCGTTAAGCGACATTTTCTATTTACACACACTCTCGCACTCGCACACAGGCTGGCCGTGGCCATTTTTATGGCAGCCCTGCATATCAGATGGCCAAAAGGAGTGCCATAAATCCATTATGCCATGATTTGTTATTCAATATTTTTGTAAGTAGATTAACTTGCAGCCGCACATTTGTTTGCGTACCGAAAGGCGTCGAAAGGATAATGCCACCGCATGTGGCCAGACCGAAAGACAGACTATCTGTGAATTAAGCTGTGTGGCGGCCTAGGCTTGTCTTGTCTTGTCTTGCCCCAAAACATAATTTACCAATCTATTTATCATATTAGCGCCCATTCGGCAAACAGCAGGCGACAGCGAGTGGCAAGTGGCTAGCTGAAAGCCCGCTGCTTGAACTGTGTGCCTCGGGCCGAGCTGAGTGACCACTTAAATCACCACAAAAATGGGCATTCGAATTGAATTTATGACACCCAAAAACAAAGTTGTTTATGCGCTATACACGCCCCGAAGGATGTCCTATTTATGATACACAGCCACCCCTACTCCTGCCCATGCCCCTGAACTCTGTTGCTTATGGTCAGCCGGCAATTTATGGGCACTTAAGTCAGCCTTGGCATAAACTTGACCAAACTGAACTCGGACAAAGGGAAGACGCCAAATCAAGTTGCAAATTTATTGATGGCAAAAATAAACTAAGCAATGATATATCTAAAATAGTTTGTTGCGGCTGATTGACTGAATGACAGACACTTTAGTTAGACAGCTGACTTTTATGCTGTAGTTACCTTTGAGGCAATGAGGGATGTGCTATACCATAATACAACTTAAGAGAACTGGGTTCAACGCTTAAGGTAAATATGTAACTTTCTTCAATTTTGCTGATTTTATTAGCTCTAAGATGCATAAGAAACTACTCTGTCTGTGTAAAAATCGGATGAGATTTGACCAAGTTATAGGAATGGAGAAATTTGGACTTAGAATAATATTACCAGATGTTGATGCCAAAAAATTCAAACTTCGTCGAAATCGGATGAGATTTAAAAGAGCTGCGCAAATGGGACATTCGGACTTATGTGTCTATATAGTATTTCTAGGCCAGATTATTTTAAAGGAAAATTATTTAGAAGAAAACTATGAAGAAAAAGACAGTCCTAGTTATATTCGATTGATTTAGCCGAGTTATGGAGGTGGGGAATTTTGACCCACGTCTATATACTTACGAATCTTGGGGTAAGATTTGGACATGAATTTCGACAAAAAAACCGGTGTTCAGATTTTAATGCCAGATTAATCTAGAAGGAAAACCATTAAGAAAAATTCAAATCTCGTGAAAATCGGATGAGATTTGATCGAGTTATGGGAGTGGTAAATTGTGACCCATGTCTATGTACGAATCTTGGGGTAAGATTTGGACATGAATTTCGACAAAAAAATCGGTGTTCAGATTTTAATGCCAGATTAATCTAGAAGGAAAACCATTAAGAAAAATACAAATCTCGTGAAAATCGGTTGACATTTGACCGAGTTATGGGGTTGTTCATTTTGACCCATTGCTGTGTACGAATCTTGGGGTAAGATTTGGCCATGAATTTCGACTAAAAAATCGGTGTTCAGACTTTAATGCCAGATTAATCTAGAAGGAAAACCATTAATAAAAATACAAATCTCGTGAAAATCGGATGAGATTTGACCGACTTATGGTCATTGTAAATCTTGACCCATGTCTATGTATGAATCTTGGGGTAAGATTTGGACATGAATTTCGACTTATGGTCATTGTAAATCTTGACCCATGTCTATGTACGAATCATGGGGTAAGATTTGGACATGAATTTCGACAAAAAAATCGGTGTTCAGATTTTAATGCCAGATTAATCTAGAAGGAAAACCATTAAGAAAAATACAAATCTCGTGAAAATCGGTTGACATTTGACCGAGTTATGGGGTTGTACATTTTGACCCATGGCTGTGTACGAATCTTGGGGTAAGATTTGGACATGAATTTTGACTAATAAATCGGTGTTCAGATTTTAATGCCAGATTAATCTAGAAGGAAAACCATTAACATAAATACAAATCTCGTGAAAATCGGATGAGATTTGACCGAGTTATGGGAGTGGTAAATTTTGACCCATGTCCATGTACGAATCTTGGGGTAAGATTTGGACATGAATTTCGACTAAAAAATCGGTGTTCATTTTTTGATGCCAGATTAATCTAGAAGGAAACCCATTAACAAAAATACAAATCTCGTGAAAATCGGTTGACATTTGACCGAGTTATGGGGTTGTACATTTTGACCCATTGACTAATAAATCGGTGTTCAGATTTTAATGCCAGATTAATCTAGAAGGAAAACCATTAACAAAAATACAAATCTCGTGAAAATCGGTTGACATTTGACCGAGTTATGGGGTTGTACATTTTGACCCATGTCCATGTACGAATCTTGGGGTAAGATTTGGACATGAATTTCGACTAAAAAATCGGTGTTCATATTTTGATGCCAGATTAATTTAGAAGGAAAACCATTAACAAAAATACAAATCTCGTGAAAATCGGTTGACATTTGACCGAGTTATGGGGTTGTACATTTTGACCCATGGCTGTGTACGAATCTTGGGGTTAGATTTGGACATAAATTTCGACAAAACAATCGGTGTTCAGATTTTAATGCCAGATTAATCTAGAAGGAAAACCATTAAGAAAAATACAAATCTCGTGAAAATCGGATGAGATTTGACCGAGTTATGGGAGTGGTAAATTTTGACCCATGTCCATGTACGAATCTTGGGGTAAGATTTGGACATGAATTTCGACTAAAAAACCGGTGTTCAGATTTTAATGCCAGATTAATCTAGAAGGAAAACCATTAATAAAAACACAAATCTCGTGAAAATCGGATGGGATTTGACCGACTTATGGTCATTGTAAATCTTGACCCATGTCTATGTACGAATCTTGGGGTAAGATTTGGATATGAATTTCGACAAAACAATCGGTGTTCAGATTTTAATGCCAGATTAATCTAGAAGGAAAACCATTAAGAAAAATACAAATCTCGTGAAAATCGGATGAGATTTGATCGAGTTATGGGAGTGGTAAATTGTGACCCATGTCTATATACGAATCTTGGGGTAAGATTTGGACATGAATTTCGACTAAAAATCGGTGTTCAGATTTTAATGCCAGATTAATCTAGAAGGAAAACCATTAAGAAAAATACAAATCTCGTGAAAATCGGATGAGATTTGACCGAGTTATGGGAGTGGTAAATTTTGACCCATGTCCATGTACGAATCTTGGGGTAAGATTTGGACATGAATTTCGACTAAAAATCGGTGTTCATATTTTGATGCCAGATTAATCTAGAAGGAAAACCATTAAGAAAAATACAAATCTCGTCAAAATCGGTTGACATTTGACCGAGTTATGGGGTTGTACATTTTGACCCATGGCTGTGTACGAATCTTGGGGTAAGATTTGGACATGAATTTTGACTAATAAATCGGTGTTCAGATTTTAATGCCAGATTAATCTAGAAGGAAAACCATTAACATAAATACAAATCTCGTGAAAATCGGATGAGATTTGACCGAGTTATGGGAGTGGTAAATTTTGACCCATGTCCATGTACGAATCTTGTGGTAAGATTTGGACATGAATTTCGACTAAAAAATCGGTGTTCATATTTTAATGCCAGATTAATCTAGAAGGAAAACCATTAAGAAAAAAACAAATCTCATGAAAATCGGATGAGATTTGACCGAGTTATCGGAGTGGCAAATTTTGAGCCATGTCTATGTACGAATCTTGGGGTAAGATTTGGACATGAATTTCGACTAAAAAATCGGTGTTCAGATTTTAATGCCAGATTAATCTAGAAGGAAAACCATTAAGAAAAATACAAATCTCGTGAAAATCGGATGAGATTTGACCGAGTTATGGGGTTGTACATTTTGACCCATGTCCATGTACGAATCTTGTAAGATTTGGACATGAATTTCGACAAAAAAATCGGTGTTCAGATTTCAATGCCAGATTAATCTAGAAGGAAAACCATTAAGAACAATACAAATCTCGTGAAAATCGGTTGAGATTTGACTGAGTTATGGGGTTGTACATTTTGACCCATGGCTGTGTACGAATCTTGGGGTAAGACTTGGACATGAATTTCGACTAAAAAATCGGTGTTCAGATTTTAATGCCAGATTAATCTAGAAGGAAAACCATTAACAAAAATACAAATCTCGTGAAAATCGGTTGACATTTGACCGAGTTATGGGGTTGTACATTTTGACCCATGTCCATGTACGAATCTTGGGGTAAGATTTGGACATGAATTTCGACTAAAAAATCGGTGTTCATATTTTGATGCCAGATTAATCTAGAAGGAAAACCATTAAGAAAAATACAAATCTCGTGAAAATCGGTTGACATTTGACCGAGTTATGGGGTTGTACATTTTGACCCATGGCTGTGTACGAATCTTGGGGTAAGATTTAGACATAAATTTCGACAAAACAATCGGTGTTCAGATTTTAATGCCAGATTAATCTAGAAGGAAAACCATTAACATAAATACAAATCTCGTGAAAATCGGATGAGATTTGACCGAGTTATGGGAGTGGTAAATTTTGACCCATGTCCATGTACGAATCTTGGGGTAAGATTTGGACATGAATTTCGACTAAAAAATCGGTGTTCATATTTTGATGCCAGATTAATCTAGAAGGAAAACCATTAAGAAAAATACAAACCTCGTCAAAATCGGATGAGATTTGACCGGGTTATGGGAGTGGTAAATTTTGACCAATGTCCATGTACGAATCTTGGGGTAAGATTTGGACATGAATTTCGACTAAAAAATCGGTGTTCAGATTTAAATGCCAGAGTATTTTAGAGGGAAAACCATGAACAAAAATACAATCATCGTCGAAATCGGTTGAATTTTGGCCGAGTTATGGAGGTGAAGAATTTTGACCCATGTCTATATACGAATCTAAGGGGTACGATTTTGACATGAATTTCGTCTAAAAAATTGGGGTTAAGATGTGAGTGTCATATTATGTAAGAGGGACAACCATAAACAAAAAGCCAACTCTTGTTAAATTTGAATGAGTTTTGGCCGAGTTATTAATGTGAGAAATTTTGTCCAATGTCTATAATAGGATAATAGGGGATATAACCCTCCCGATTTTTCCACACATACGAGGTAAATATCACAAATATATTTAAAATATGTTATTATTAATCTACAATATTTTTATTCACTCACCTCAATACGATTATCGTCCAGTTCGAGCTCAGAGAGGCTCCACAGCTCGGCAAAGACCGTGTCGCCAATGAAATTGAGATTGTTGTGCGTCAACTTGAGGAGATTTAGGTTTCCCAATCCCCTGAAGATCTCACTGGTGAGCACATTGATCTGATTGTGGGCCAGGTTCAAGTAGGTCAGACGAGCCATGTCCGCAAAGAGACCCTTGTGCAAGGTGCTGATATTGTTGTTGTTGAGGAAGAGTCGCTCGCAAAGCGGCAGATTGCGGAACGCATAGCGATCCATCTCAAAGATCTGGTTCTGCTCGAGATTCAGCTCGCGCAGCCGAATGTGATTGGCAAAAGCATCCTGATCGAGGGCCATGATGTGATTGTTATTGAGTATGATACGCTCCAGGAAGGGCAGATTGGCAAATGCATAGCTCTTGACGATCTCCACCTGCGAGTACTCGATGACAATGCTGCTGAGATTCTTCAGCGGCTCAATAATCATGGTGGGTATGTAATCTAGTCGTGCATTGTTCTGTATAACAAACTTGAGTTCGCGCAGACGCTTCTGCTGGTAGAAACGTGTCCAGGTCGTGTCATTCTGATGCAATCCCTCCGAGAACACCCAGCATTCGGCCTTCTGCACGGGCATATGATTTTCGTCCGGCGTGCAATAGCACATGAGCTTCATGTCCCGACGGCGCATGCAGAAACCGGTGCTGTCCATGGGTCCGTTATAGCCAGTGGCGCCTGTCAACGAGCCGACGCCGCTGCTACTACTGCCGTAGGCCGAGGAGCTGGTGTAGTAGCCGCCGCCGGCATTGCTGTTGCTAGTCACGGCTGAGGCGGATGCGGAGGCGCCCGCATTGCTGCCTCGTCCACGGCTGCGACGCTCCTCCTTGTCCCGCGTACGCGCCTCACCGGGCGCCACGAGGCAGCAGCTCAGCAGTAGAATGCCAAAGCCCAGAAGCGCCACAATTTTATGGCGCTGATGATGTGGCAACATTGGAACGGCGGGTCGCAAGTTGCGCTCTTGGCTAGAACGATACACAAAAAACCAGAATGACTCAGTCAATAAAATTTGTTTATCTGGCGCCAAGTGGGTTAGTCGGGGTTGGGTTGAAGCTGGGTTGGGGGCAGGTGGAATTGAGCATATAAAATGAAAAGCGTAAAGGGCTTTTTCTCAATGTGAGTCGAATTGTTTTTCAGCTGCAAATTTTTGAAAATTTGTAGAACGGAGAGAGCGGGTATATTGAGGGTGTAATGCATTTTGTTTTATAGGTAGAAGGAAGCATCTAAAGCATATGGCTTTATTTGAGGAAGAATTTTAAAATCCTGAAGTGGACAGCGAACTCAGTCGAAGTACTCGGACATATATCGATTTAAAGCTTTGGTTAAGCCTTTCTCATAGTTTATTGGAGCTAAATACACAATATTTGACTATATACACAGATTATAAAAGCTAAAGACAATTTAGTGAGTTGACTTCCCTAGATTACACAAAAATTGAGAATACATTTGTTTTAAAAGCCTTCCCGCAATCCCTCCTACAATTCGTCTTCGCCTTATATACACTTTTGATTTTCATCCTTGCTTATTTGGAAGCCCTCTCTTAAATTACAATTTGCTCCGAAAATATTGTAAATTTAAAGGCGATTGGAGGCTGCCAACATAGTGTAACTTCCAGTCGGGCACACTCGACTAGTGTACTCGCACTTGTTTTATGTCCTCGACCTGAAAACCTATTAAATAATGTTGTTTGCTCTCGATATTATTTCGTTCATTGGACGCACTCTGCAAACTCGAATTGCCAACATTAAATTTGATGCCACATTAAAAGCGTAAATTCTGGGTAAACACCTCGTCAATATTGAAACGGGTGGAATGGGTCGAGTGTTGGGTTTCATTTATATTATTCCACTGAAAAGCGATGCGTCTTTCAATACATTGTGCCGAAAAACCCTCTTTGCCACAGGCCAGTGCCTGCTTAAAAGTTAAAGCGCTTCATATAAAAAATGCTAATTAATGTTGTTAACTTTTTACTTTTCGTTCATATTTCATTTCTGGCGCAATACACATTTTCGCGGTAGCTCCCGCCGCTCGATCTCTTTTTCGTTCTTTGATTTTCCCGCTTATTCAATGAATGCTGCCTGTGAAAAGTTCATGACATGGCCGTTTTTCCGTTCCGGTTTGTTGTTGTTGTTGTTGTTGTGCCTCCTGCTGGCTTTTTGCTGCCTTCATTTGACGCTCTGCTGGTTCGTTCTTTGGGCCTGGTCCATCCCCCAATACTGGGAGACTACCCCCATAAACAAATTTATTGCGCTCATAAATAACTGCAACACTGTCGCTGATTGTTCGCTCACTGGCAACGGCTTCATCAAGTGACCCCCCCGACCCGCCCCTTGTAGTAACCGCCTCTGGGGGGCCCTTACTCAATTGCATTTCAAGTATCATTTGGCAAAGTGCTCTCTAATTATGCTCGTATTTTTAATAAATTAATAAGTCACATCTGACATTGGGCATATTTTTGGATGCACCCTCTACCCCCCACCCGCTCGCAATCCCCCCCTCATGTTCGCCCAGTGAGCTGGCATAATGAAGTGTAAATAAGTTATTGTCAGTTGTCAAGTGAGTCATCGTTATCGCCGCCAGTTCCGGCAGCCAGGCAGTTTTTCGCCAGTGATTTGCATAAATTATTGTCTTTCAAATCACAGAGAGATCGGGTGAGGGGTAACAGGCTTAAGGGCGTGGCTAAAAGCTGAAAGTCATTTGAGTGATTGACTTTGGCATGCTTCATTACATTGATTATCGTTATAAATTTTAAATAAAACGATGATAAGTGTTTCGATTGTTGTTGCTGCGCTGCTTAAGTTGGCTTATAGCAAATGTCATATCCTGCCCCAATGCTGTGCCAAAGTTCAAGGTTCAGGCGTGGCTGATGCCACAGGATTAACAGCTCAAAACAGTTGGTTGACAAACATCCGCAGCAGCAGCAGAAGCTCTGCCAAAGCACTTGATGGCTTTAATTTAAATATCAAAGCAAACTCAAAACTAAATTGTCACACACACAGATACACACGCACACAGATACACACGCACACAGATACACACGCACACAGATACACACGCACACAGCCACAAGAGCCGCAGCTGTGAAATGTTCTGGGAATTTGTGAGGTGAGACACTTTTGAGTTATACGTTTGCACATCCTTGACATTTTTTTTAATAGCCCTATAAGAGGGTATCTCAAATTTGTCATGAGAGAAGGAACATATATATTCTTGATCATCATGAACTGCCTAGTTAATAAATATATGTTTTTCTGTTTCCGAACCTGTCTGAATCGGATAACTATATCATGTAGCTGAGATTTTAATTTATTTTTTTTTATTATTTATTTATTTATTCATCTGCCTAATTATTTAATATATAATTATATGAAAATTAAATGCACGAATCTTCGGTTAGAATAAACAATTTTATAATGCCCCTATCCATAGCAACAATTTTATTGGAGGGACAGAATAAACTTGATACAAACTATTATCATTTTTACATAGTACACGGAGAGAATAGCGCATAACCGTAATCTGTGGTGCACGTAGGTAGAAATAAGAGGATATTAGAAATGATCGCTCGAAAATAAATAATCTTATCAAGAAGGAACAACTATATCACATAGTTCTATAGATAAAATGTATTTGTACGGAGAAATGGTGCAAATACCAGATCTCCTTTTTTTTTTTTCCAGCATATCTGAAAGACGTAAGGCAAATGGCGGGGGGAAGGGAAACTAATCTTCGGCGTGGCAAAGATAGCCATGCTTTCTTTTAAAGTGTGTTGTCAAGCAGCAAATCAAAAATACATGTGTGCGGATATATCAAGTCTCTGTGTGTGTAATTAGATTTTCAAGCGAGTGAATTTAAGGCACATCCTCTCTCTCTCCACCTCTCTCTTGCTCGCTCTCTTTCTCTCAAAGCAATCCTTGTATATTCATTGGCACATGTGCAGCAAGCGGCGCTGACAGCCACAGCCAATTACTCAAAGCAGAGAAAACGTGAGAGGGGCCCAGGGAGGGGAAGGGGGGTACCCTGCCCCAAGCGATTGCAAGCAAATGAAAAATCAATTTGTTGTTTATGCATAAATCATAAGATTTATGCGACTTCTCACAGTATTCATAAGTCATTTATCAAAACGCAAAAAGTTTTCTGTGTCACGACAAACCCGACAACAACAACAAAATGCGTCCAAGCGCAACAAAAGACACAGAATACGGATACGCTTTAAGCATAATAAATAGCTTTTGGGGGCGCACACTTAAAACTTAAGTGAAAGTCGAGAAAATCAAATTTGCTGCCAAAAGTATTTACTACAAGAATTCCAAACAGATATAAATGTAAATAAATGTGTATCTAACTAAAGCTCAACTATGACAATACGAAAAACCTGGATGATGAGCAGCAGGCGAAAATGTAGAGAACTGGATAGAGTGCTTGACTAGCAGATACCCTGTAACGATTAGTCGTCATGCTATCTATTCTAAATGCCTACAGAAACTTTATTCCCAATTTGTGTATTTATTGTCTAAAAATGAAGAAAATTAACTGCTTATTATTATATAATTGCCATTTTAACAATAACAAACAAGAATATAATAAATTTCGTCGGTGAAATATGGTAAAATAAGTTCCAGAGTCCATCGAGCTCTGAAATAAATACAATCCAAATCTAATTATGGAAAAGGTCACAAGTTCGATTCTTTCATTGATTGGCCATCAGCTACCAAAAGTCTTACTTCCTTAGTTTAAATAATACCCTATGTATTCTTGTCTTTCTGCTAAACCTTCTAAAAACTGTTTCGGTCCGGCTCTATAGAGTCGAGCATACCCTCTCTCTGCACAACTGCAATATATTCCCTTTTAACCCGATTTCAAAGGATACAGGCGAAAATCATGCGGTAGACATGAAAGCAAAAGCAAAAGCAACGTGGGCCAAATTGCAACCAGAAGCCATTTGTCTTGTTGTTTATAATTTCGATTAAACTTTCAATGTGAGGAGCGCACACACACACAGGGAGGCACAGGCATATGCTTAAAGTGTGTGCGTAAACAATAAAAGCTGTGGGTTGGGCCTGGCGAAGTGTGAAGATGGAACTTGTTGACGTCGACCCACTACGAAATTGGAGCACAAGCCGCAGCTAAGCTGTCAGAGAGCTCAGAGCTCCCGGCGGCCAAAGGGAGCCAGCGTTGCACATAAATTGTTGCCAATGCTTGAATGCAAAATTTCTTGGCCTTAACGCTGGCAATTCTTCGGTGCTGTTCGGTTCTGGTTCCTGGCCCATGCACAGGCACAGACGACACGGAGGCAAGAAAAGTTTGCTTATCAGGCCGCAGCGAATAAACACATAACAGCTTGAGGGGGAGAGATCCTTGGCTGAGTGAGTGGGAAATGAAGCTGTGCCAAGGAGCTGCTGCTGCTGATGAAGACAATGGCAACTAGAGCCAGGCGAAAATCTGATCCCATTGCTCTCATGGTTGCGACTGCGACTGCTTCTGTCGTCAGCGTGTGGAAATTGTTTTCAATTTTCGTTATTTGACAAATGGTGACACTTCCGCTGCGGCAGCCGCGCCCGAGCACCAGCAGGACCTTAACAATATGTCTGTGTGTGCCATGAGGTTTTGTCAACAATAAGTTTATACGTCAGACATGTTTATGACATGGCCCCTGCGCGTGCCCCTGCCCCTGTTCATCATCATCGTCATCATTGCTCGTCAGTGCGCACATTATGAGGCGGAACATCCTGGCCAGCTGCCGCCCAGTGCACTGCCCGCATGCCATGTGAATAACTTTAAGCTGTGACATCGCACACATGTCCTGGCCCTGTCCCGGCCCTGTTCTGGCCCTGTTCTGGCCCTGTTCTGGCCCTGTTCTGGCTGCAGGACGTGCTTGACTTTGACTGAATGCTCGCAGACAGACAGACTGGCCAGCTCGCTGACAAGTCAGTCGACTCCAGTCTCTAGTTTATTTGGCCGCAAATAAAATGGGACAAACGAGCGGACGAGTTGGCGGCATTCCATAACCGAAAGCGCAGTCATGTCCCGATCCGCAGTCCGGCCCTGACAAATGGCCGGACTAAAGTGCCGTACAAAGCGGGCTCCATCAATCAAGCCGGTTATGACATTCGCACGTACCTTGCTCACTTTGTGCTCTTATTTATATTATTTTTATTGAAATGCTACATTTGATTTGTTTAGTTGCGTCTTCAACTTGATTTGCTTGCGTCACTCAAACAGAAATACACTCGACAAGCACAGAACTGGAATTTAAATCAAATGACTTTAAGACCATAACAATAAAAAAATCGCTGCTAGAATTCCCTGGAGATAGTATGGGAAACTAGGTATATATCTGCGAAAAATCAGTTCTAATTGGATAAGACTTAATGTCTATAAAGCTGAATATTTACATATGAGGAGCATAGTGAGACTTATGAGTGCCGAGGTTGGTCAAGCTTTCATTCCATATAAGAACCTACTTCTCGCTCGTTCGTTCCTATGCCAGCTATAAGATATAGTGTTCCGATCCGGCTGGTTCTGATATGTTCTATGCAAAGTTTCAATATGTTTCCCTTAAAAATGAGAGACCAAAATATATCAACTCGGTGTCGGAGAGGTCGCCTCCTATGAGTTACACATTCCATGAAAAAATTATAATAGTTTTATCAGACTATCTTAACAGACAAGACTACCTTAACAGAGTTTTAACTAGGCTTTTTTTGGCTTTCCAACTTCTTGATGCGAAGCAAACCTTAAGGCCAGCCTATGCTTCGAACTATAAACAGACAACTAATAAGAATTATTTTAACAGCCATAATGGGAACCAGAATGCGTGCCATATCTCTTAAATGGAATACCTCCACGCGCAGTGGGAGGGCGTCCTAATAAGCTGCGAATAGCGCAGGAACTTTTATTTATATTAATTGTTGGCCTTTTTTTTGTTTATTGTCAGCAATGTGGCACTCTATAAATATATATTTCATAAATTGCTTGCCATTTACATGTGACGTTCGCGCCAAGTTGCGACTGTCATTTGTGAAAACCCTTTTTCTGACTGTGCGCTATTATCATGCGAAGAAGTCATTGCCAGCTGTCGCAGTGCTTGTCCCCCCAGCAAATCACATATACTGCCCTATATATATACCCCATTATACATATATATATACATGTATATATATATATATATATACCCCATTTCCCTCTAGGAGTTGAGCTATGCCAAATTTGCACACACTGTGCGAGTGTCTCTTGCTTTTGCTTTTTCTTCTCTGCGCACTTTTAGACTACTTTTCAGTAACCCCCTCCCCCTTTCACTTTTCCCCCTTCTCATCACTTCTTTTTTTTTGGCTTTTAGCATACCTGTCAGCAAAATAAAATGAAAAGTAGTTTCCAGTGCAAACTTTCGCTCATCGTCGCCAGCCGCCATATTGTTGACACATATTTTCCTAGCCAAGTTATATGCAAACGCCTGCCACGCCCATGCCCATAGCCCCCCCACTCCTCCATTGCACTTGAGCGAAGCCCAGCCCAGCCCATTACTTTCGGCTGTCATTTTTTCACTTAGATTCCGTCGTTTGGCTTTTATTTGCCTTTTTGCTGGTTTTCCTCTCAAGTGTAGAGCTTTAACTTTTGATGCACAATTTGTTTGCTCCACCCAGTCCCAGTCCAAGTTCCCCTCCCCATTCCCATCTCCGTCCCACCCCTCCCTCAACAGCATTCTGTTTAAGCCTGGCAACTGTTTAATGCTAAAATTGGCAGCACCTGGGCAAAGTGTTAGCGGCTGGCTCAACTGTCCCGACAGATAAGTAGTCCTTGACTTGGCTCTTGCTCTTCCTTGCTTTATTTGCATACCCTGTACCCCTTGAAAAATGACATGCAAGCAGCTACTTTTTCCTTTACTTCTCTGTCTGCGTAGGGATCACGAAGCACAAAAGAGCTAAAGATTTCAAATAACGTATACGGGTTCTCATATCTATGGCTGCATCGATAAAAACTCTCCTTTGCCCGAAATCTATAAATAATTATTATTTAGCTTGGAAATTAACTAAGCTGAAGACTTGAAATTTTGTTATATATTTATTCGCATATATCATAAAAAGAACGACGTTATATTTTCTATAGCTCCGCCCATTTCTATATTATCGATAAATATCGATTTTGAAAAAAAGGGTCTTTAAGCATAGCTCGAAGCTAGAGACACACATTTTTCTATGCAGGTTGTCGTACAGCATTCACAAGTCAAGCACATTAGGCTAGCACGCTTTAAAGTGATTGGAGAAATTTTCTATCGAAGCCTGTTTTTTTTCTAATGCTAGAACTTTAGAAGTATTCCCGAATATTTGTTATGGCCAAACTAGGCCTAGATACAGGGTATCTGCTGGTCGGATACTATCAGCTGGAGCACTGCTACTTGTTGTCTTTTTTGTTAGCCATTTTGTTGTTTGGCCAAGTCGCCTTCACCTTTTTGCCTGTTGACTGACTCAGCGAGAGGAAGGAGGAAAGGTAGGTTGAGCGAAAATTATTATTTTCGCCGTTGACTGCAAGTTTGTTGCAACTTTCTGACGCAAAGTGAAAATTTGTCATGCTCGTTGAGCAGCTTTGCTAAGTATGTGTCTCGCTCGATGCCGCTGCTGTTGCTGCTGCCTGATATAATAAATTCCCTCAGTTTAGCTGAAATGCTCACGAAGACAAACATAAGCCCGAAAATACAAACACAAACATAAATACAGACCGATGAGCCGGGGTGGATTTCTTGTCGAAAATGAGTCGTCGTCTGGGACAAAACTTTTAACTCAACTGTCAAATATTTTAACAATTTTGCATAAAACATTATGAAGATGCCAAATCGTGGGCGCTAGCTCTATCTCTATTTCTATATAGCCAACTGTCTGTCTGTCTTTCTGTCTGAGCTGTTGATTCTGAAAGTGAATTTGAAATGCGCTTAAGCTTCATCTCTTTCTGTCACTCAACTCTCTATCTCCCTCTCTATCTTCATCTATATCTCTTTGGCCCACTCCCCACTTAATTAGCTAAGTTCTGAGCTCTCTAGGTTGAGCTTAAGCTTCAAGTTTTCTGATTTGTGCATTAAATTTGATGCCCACACACTAGGACACACACACACACACATTCATAAATATTTCTACCTGTAACTGACTCACCTTTTGATGAAGTGTATAAAAAGGGCCGCGTCACGTGCGGGCCTCTGAAGAGCTGAAGACTTTTCTGCTGACTAATGCGCTGCTCTGAAAGAGAAATAGAGAAAGAAAAAGAAAAAGGGATACATGAATTAATGTGATTAATTCAACAGTACTTTCACTTAAAATATTTATTTTACCAACTTGAGGCCCACACACATAATAACCCTAAGGGGGGAGAGCTCTAATAGGGAGTGCTAGACTGTGAAATACCCTGAACATATTGACAAGCTGCCGTGACAATCCCTTTAGCATCCTTATAGACAAAATATGCACTCAATGTGAAATAATTTATTAAATAACATTGGAGAATATTATCCGAGTTTTTTGGCATCTAAAAGTGTGTGTGAATAGAAGGGACCAGTTATAGGATTGGGGAATTTTGACCCAAGTCTATATACGAATTCTAGGGGTGTGGTGTGAATTTCGACTCAAAAATAAATGCTGATATTTAAATGCGAGATTATTTAAGAATGAAAACCTTGAAGAAAACGACAATCCTCGCGAAAATCGGTTGAGTCTTGGAGTTTGGGAGTTTTAAACCATTCGTATTTACGAATCCTAGGGGTAAGATTTTGACATGAATTTCGACTCAGAAATGGGTGGTCAGATTTAAATGCCAGAATATTTTAGAGGGAAAACCATGAAGAAAATGACAATCCTCGTATAAATCGGATGAGTTTTGGCCGAGTTATGAGGATGGGAAATTCTGACCCATGTCTATATACGAATCCTAGGTGGTCAGATTATTTAAGAAGGAAAAACATGAAAACCACCTCTGAGTTATGGAGGTGGGGAATCTTGGCCTATGTCTTTATAGCATATTTAGGAGTACCTTCGCATGATCAGAAATCAGTCATTCTGGACAAACAGTTGTATATAGAGAGATAAAAGTCTATATACTAAATCAGAGTCCGCCTCATTAAGCACCGAAATATGATCATTAAAGCAGGATATCGATTTTCAGAGATGACAAAAAGATAATAAATTAAACTTGTTTTTTATGTACTTGAAATTGTTTTACCTTTTCTATAGCGTACCCGTAAAAAGTCTAGAATAATTAGGCATGTTTTTTTTGTTTCAGGTCTAACTACTTTAATCTCATATCTTATTTGGTTCATAATAATATTATTAGCGGGGCTGACAGTTGTGGCGGGTTTTTGAGGCCCAGCCCCAGGTAAGTTGTGGCTGGAAGTATGCGCACCGCAAATCTAATTGCGTTAATTTTCAGATAATTGTGTGCCGCCAGGCGGGGGCCCAGGACATGCGACTACGTAAAACTATTAACACGCAGCAGTGCAGGGCACCGAGCTGGGCGGGGCAAAAGGCACACACATGTGCTTAGAGTGCTTGGGCGTGGGCGTATGCGTGGGGGTGGCCCTATTGCGCGTTATTCAAATAGTTTTTTTTTTTCGGTTACCACGCTCGGGGCACATAATTTTCTGCGTGTCCATTGTCCATACGGGCGACCACAACTCCGGCCACGATGACAACCAGTTGAGGCAATTCCCCAGCCTGAACTTAAATGTCACGGTTCAGACAAATACACACACAGACACATGAGGGACTTCGTTCTATTGTTGTGTTTGGGGCATTAAATGAAATAATTGCATTTGCTGCGCCTACAAAAAAGGCAAAGTACACACACACACACACCCACATACATATGCCTCCCGGAGCAAATACCTCACATCCACTTAAAGGTGGTTCCACTTTTATGAGAATCGGCGGGGTTAACGCTCCAATTTTACACACTTAGAAAATATTTGGGGGTGAAGTAAAAATGTATAAACGAATTTAAGAAAAGTTGATTGATTTGGACCAGCACTTTCACGCTTGTTGGTTCAAGTCTTAGTTACCTAAAGCACACTTGTTTTCTAAACAAACTTTGAACATTGTTTTCTCCCTTTTCGGTTCAAATATTCCAATAAAAAATATTTTAATATAGTTTATATTTAATTTAAAATGTTCAAGAATCGTATTGAAAGCCTGAGTATAATTGGCTGTTATGTTTTATTTTCTCACATTTTATTGGAATCGGCGGGGTTAAAGCTTCAACCGTTTCTCTCAGTGCATCTGGCTATATTGTTTTTTTCCTCCCCGTCTGCAATTATCATCGTTGCCTATCGGCAACATCGCTGACCGTTTTCCGTGCCTACTTTTTTTTACCGACTACTGGTAATTATGCCCGCATTATTTGAATAAGGCAGCTCAGACTTCAGACGAAGCTGGAATTTAATATGCTTTGCGCTCCTATTGATATAGGCAAATGCACTGGGGTTTCGGCGACTTGTATAATAGTTGTTTAGTCGGCCATATCGTGGCATACGAATCTCACTGATTGCTTTGACTATCCACAAAAAGGCGAATGTCAAACAAGTTCAACGAGTGTCGGCTGCCATGGGCAACCAACACAATGGAGCCAGAGCTCAAATCCATGACAATTTACTATCAACTGGGCATACACATATTGCATATACAAACAGGAGGGTGCTGGTGAAGAATGACCGACTGAAAGATACCCATTCGAGCTAACAAAACAAAACATGTTCTCAATTTAAAAATAACTACGGGACTTCGAGACTTTAGCTGGATGACAATATACTATCAACATATTGCAAACAGTTAGTTATGAAACAACTTTGTTTGGAGAGTTCGTGGAAGTTTTAAAATATTAAATTGATACACTTCTTTGGTCTGTTAATAATAGATGGAATAGACAGAAGACAGGCTAGGAGACCAGGACCATCATCTCTGTCATCAACAGATCTATTCATACAGAATAACTGCGAGGTATTCAAAGAGTGATATTTGCTTGATAAAGAAAAAAAAAAACCCAGGCAGAAACTATATATTTATAGATATACAAAATGTTAAAGTGGGGAAAGATAGAATGATGTGAAAATCGAAAGTAAACCTAGACTCAAACTATATATTTATCGTTACATATTACAACTTATGAAGTGCTGCTCAGAGATATAAATATATAACTGACAAAGTCTGAAGGGCCTTCAGCTGCCAGTGACACACATTTGCTCATCTACAATATGCCCTATATTGTAGTGTATATTTCCCATCTCCCCTTCAAGTAATTTCAAGGATTGCTGCGTTGTCAAACTGTCGCATATCATAGCTAACCCAGACCCACGAGGTTTAATCTCTTATTTGCAAGTGAATAAAGAACAGAACTTGGCTGAAGAAGTTCACGGAAATTGCAGCAAACGTTTCCATTTCATGTGGGGCAATAAAAATTTAATATAATTACGCACAATTTCCAGCTGAAGTTTATGGCAAGCACACACACACACACACTTCCACACACCCACACACATAAAAATATACACTTATGCATTGCCAGGAGCAGGACTCGCTGTGACTTTTGACAGCGCTGAGTCCCTTCTCCCCGCTTCGCACTTTCCAGCAAGTGAGTTTATGAGTCGCCGCCAAGACAAACATAAACACTTGTGAGGACAGTTCAAGGGTATAGGGCGAACCAAAGGGGGGACGGGTATTGCAGCTGATTTCATAAAGTGTAACAAGCCAAAGCTTTGAGCTCAACTGCTGCGACAAATAAGCGACAGAGTGGGAGCGGGAGCAGCAGCAGCCGCGGGGGAAAGCTGCCTGCAAGTCGACAATAAAGCGTTGCGAAAAAGTTTACAAGTTGCCGGAGGGTGGAGGGGCGAAGCGGGGATGCCCAGGAAAGAAGCGAATGGGGGGGGCGCTAACATTGGATGTAGCCAAGTGTTGTGGCTGAGCACACACACACACTCACACACACAATAACGGGTATCTTGCAATTGTGCAAGTGTATGTAACAGCGCAAAAAGTTACAATAAGTATATATGCATACATATAATTGATCAGGTGAAGAGACAATTCGATGCATAAGGGAGAGTGAGCCCAGGGTATCCGCTAGTCGACCACTCTAACTCACTTAACGAACAAGTCGATCCATCGTCTCCCCAGTGCTTCGATCAGCTGTTGGAGCTCAAAGTCGACGGCAGCCAGGCAAAAATCTTTCGAACGTAAAGCTTACAGGGTATCTGTTAGTCGAGCACTCTCAGCTATAGCGCTCGCAGTTGTTTCTGTTGCGCTTGTTTACATTGAGGCACCCAAAGCAAAGTCGACAGCAAAAGCAGAAACAGAAGCTGTCGCCCAGGACGTGCATTTTCCACATTTGCCAGCAGCAAGTTGTTATTTCTTAATATTGAGTGCTGCTGCGGATGCTCTGCCGGCAGCGACGCCGCCAGTGACTGCGGCAGAGCGAATGTCAGGCGACTTAACCTTTGACAGGCGCGGCTCGGCTCCAGCTCGCAGCAAGGGCCCCCGCCGGCAACAACCTCTTGGCCATAAATTGAGTGGCGTTTGTCTGCTGCCAATGTAATCAGATCAGTTTTGTACGCTTCGGCAGATACGCGAAAACTTTTATTTGATTGGCAAATTAGAAAAATCTTGAAGAGAACGTACCTCGCAAAGAAGAAGAATGCAGGCAGCGCAAACTAATCCGCGACCCAGCTTTCGATTAGGCATAGAACCTGTTGCCAATTTGTTTATCTGCTGACGCAGGATCCAGTTTAACAACTCACAATCATTTTGTCTTAATTCGACCATAATTATCTAACACTTTTCACTTTTGGCTTAACTTTAATAATTATTTCGCAATAAAAAATGGCGCAAATCTTTTCAGTGTGGCTTTCACTACTAATTATGGCTGTGCGGCCGCTTAGTGAAAATCCCGAATAATTTTGGCAACTCTCGTTTTTGGCCATCCTCTTTTATCGATATACGGTCACACTCAGTTTATTTTTTCGCATTGTGAAGTGGTGTGCAACAAGTTAATATGCAAATAATTAAAAATAAGTGTTTTTATATAAGCAATATGCATAAAAAATGTGCCCCAATATTATTGCACATAGTAGCCACATTTTGTTTGTTTTGGCGGTAAGTATAATCCAATTATTAATGCTTTTTTCACCAATTGCAAATTTTTATTATTTTTGGCGGCAAAATTTCGCCAAGGCTTAGCGTTTCGCGTTGCCAATTGAATGTTTAAAATCTAATACATTCCCTTTTGAGTATAATAATTGTGCTGGCTACTCTAATTGTCTAACATCTTTTTTCTCTTTGCAGCCACACAGTGTCTTTTTTGTTCAGTGAAGCTAATTGGAAGGGCAAGTGCGTGAGAAAATAAAACGAAGTTAATATATATGTGTAGTGCATCGGAGATCATCACAAAAGTGCAACAAGTGTCAATTTTTTTTTATATCAGTGAAATTCATCTATAGTATATGTGTATGTCCATATTATATAAGCTGCAAAATTGTCGGCTGGAAAATTACGCAACATCCAGCCGCTCTTCTTCTTCTTTCTTTTTTTTTCTGTGCAATTGGAAGGTGAAGTGCGTGAAATAAAAAAAAATCTATATAATTTTATAAAGTCCAAATAGGTGCTATTTTAGTCAATCTAATTGGAAAGTGAAGTGCTTAAAAAAATAAAAATAAATGTAAATGTTTATATATATATATGTGCATCAGTTTTTTTTTTCAGTGAATCTTAGTGAAAAAGGCGCGTAAAAGAAATGGCCAATTAAGTAAGTTTTAGTCCATTGCAAATCATAAGATTTGTAAGTCCAATTGGAAGGCCAAGTGCAACAAGTGTGTCCACAGTGTTATGCCGTGAATCTTATTGGAAAGGTATAAAAGGAATAACCTATTCAACCAACAACAATGTGTTTTATTGCGGTTAGTTCCATTTTACAAATTAAAATAACGTTACTTTTTGAGCGTTTTATAGCCCGACTTAACAAATTGTCTTTTATCTTTTATTTATTTACAGCGTAGTGTATTTATTGTATGTGAATCTAATTGGAAATGAAAGTGAATATAGTGTGTGAAAAATAAAATGATAGCAAAGGTGTATTAAAAATCATCAACGTGTCGATATCAACAGAATATTCATTTTACGCTATATATTTCGGTAAGTGTTTTATATGAATATATTGAAGCTTATATTAAGAACTGCAAGTCACTTTTGTTTGTTTGTGTTAAATTCGCCGTGTGCAAACATATCGATGTGACCATTCCTTGCGATCAGTAAAATACTCGATATTTGATACGCAAAATACCAAGGATGTAAACTAACAGCGGCGATGTAGGTGGCTATCGTTTTCTCCTCTACTCACCCGCTTATTCACCTTTTCGGGCTGCGCTTGCCAAACGTGTCAATTGGCGTTAATGTAATTATGTAATAAAGTTGCGTTAATGGTCGGGGTGCAGCTGCGGCAGTTGGCCTATTTCCTGCTGGAAAACAGGGCAACTGCCGCTAATATTAATTAGCCAGCAGCAGCAGCGGCAACAACAGCGCGCTGGTCAAATTTTTGTTTACATTTTCGCCGCTTAAATTTTCTCGTGTCGCGTCAGCTGGCTATTAAAAGCGTTATGCTAAATGGCCATAACAACTTCCGTGTGACACACACCTACTGCTGAAAGTATGTATGTATGTGTTTGTGGTTTTTTCTAGCCCCGCCCAGTCAGGCTCTCGTTTTCAACAATAAACAGCAGCATAAAAGCCATGAAACTGATTTTTCACGCCATTTTCGTTTACATTTTGTTGTTGTTATTCGTTGCTGTTGCTGTTGCTGTTATTGTTGTTGTTTTAACAGTTTTTGTTCTTGTTTGCTTTCGCCATGGCACAGGCCGGGGCTGTTCGAGCAGTGTTACCAGCTGGCGCTTCACAAAAAAAAAAACAGCTAAATTAAATGTTAAAAATATTTGGCAATAAACAGGTTAGCTAGTACTTTTCAAGGAAATGCCAAAAAAAGGCTAAAACAAACGATCGCTGGCAACAGCTAAAAATAGCTAAATAGACAACACTGTTGCCAACGCATATGTAATTAAAATATATTATTTTTGCCGAACAAAACAACTGCGAAAAAAAGGGAACTAAAAAAACCGAAGCCCAAAAAAAAAAAACGCTGCCTTGTGTATTTATAACGAAAGTTTGTGGGTGTGGATGTTACGGTTATGTTGATGAGGCCTGGGTTGTGCACTGGGGGAGGGGGGAGGGAGGGAGAGTAGGTGGGGAGTAGCGTGTGCTAAGGCAATGATGTTCATAATGATGGCCACTCTGCACGCACCTGCCGCAGATTCTGGCACAGTCTGGCAACGCCCGTGGCCTTCACCTTTGTTGTTGTTGCTTCTTTCTGTTATATCTCGTTTTTGCTTTCAGCACATTTGTTACGCATCATAAATGAAAATGCTCATATAAATATTTCATATTTGAACACAGAAAAACCACCCACACAGAATGACAACAAGTCGCAGTAGCTGACGCGTCGCCACGCCCATCGAAACATTTCACTTTTCAGTCTGAAAATTTCCGCCCATTAAATTGACATACGCGCATTCGCATTCATTTCCTCTTTCCGTTATGCCTGCTTTTATGGTGCTCTGCATGGAAAGGGTATATGCATTTTTTTATTTTTTATGTAACGCTTTGAAGAAAGCAGCTCTGTGGACATTTATCATTGTAATAGTATATATATATCATAGTAATAATATAATAATATAGCTTTGTATAATCTGTCTGTCTGTTTGTTTCTCTGTGAGCTGGACTTTACGTCAGGTTATGAATAGACTAAAATTTTGACTACTTCTGACTAATATACCAAGTAGATCCTGGATCAGTCGGACACAATTTTTGCTTGAGACACCTTCGTATATTTATGTATAAATATTTTTTGCATCTACTTTGTATATATATATATATATATGTATTGCGTAGGGCATTTCAACTTCGTTGTTGGCCTGTCTAACTGTCTCTCTTGTTTTCTTCTTTATGGGTTGCCCCTTCTCCTCTTTCTCGTGTTTGCACAAGTTTTGTAATATTTCGGGTTTATGTTTACAGTTGGCAAACGCATTAAAATCACAGATTTACATTTTTTTCTTTTTGCCTCCCTCCCCCTTTCTCTCTCTCTCTCTCTCTCTCTCCTTCACTCGGCCTGCTGAATTATTTAGTGTTGTCGCCCGCGCCGCCCTCTGCCCCTGCCCCTCTGCACTTTGTCCCGGCAAAGTATTCGGATTATTGAATTTGAATTTGTTGCGAGTATGGCGACAGGCATCAAGGCTTATTGTTTCAAATGTTTTCGTCGCAATCTCGAGAATGTAAACTGTTGATAGCCTCTACACACACACACACCCACACACACACACACACACACGCACACACACATTTAAGGCGGGGTTTAGGCCGTGTGCGCTTGGAAATTATTTTTTAATAAACACAAAGCACTTCACAAAGGGGCACAGAGACGCATCCGCATTCGCTTGGACTGCTGCAGCATAGTTAGGGATGGGGGCTTAGAGGGTGCTGCTGACCTGGTGGGGGGTGCCCGCCCACCTTTTGCTCAGCGAGCGGCAACCAGCGTCGAGCGCAAAATAAATAAACCCACTTTAATATGCGCTCGTTATATTATTTTCTTTTCATTTTCTTGATTTTCCTTTTCACTCCTTGCTCTCTCCCTCTCTCTTGCTGTTATTATGTTTTTCTTTCGTCTTTTTTTTTTTACAATTTTTCGTGTTGTTTTTGCTGCCCGACCCCCCCCCCCCCCCCCCGCGTTGGGTTTCGCTTGTTTGAAGTGCCACGCTCTATTTAAAGGCAAATTGTCTGTAGTCCTTTTTACAAATATTGTGTTTCTTTTTCTTTTGCATATTTAGCCGCTGCAGCACCCCCCCCCCCCCGTTCCTTCCCTCAACCCTGGCACAGTCAAAAGACGAAAATTTCCATCGCTAAAAACTGCGATCTGGATCCGAGTCTAGACATTGTGGAATTAGTTGGCGCTCAGTCTAAAAATGCATAGAACATCCCCCGCCCCTCAGTCCACGCCCGCCTACAAATGCTAAGAGCTGGCCGCTTGAATTAGCATCTGAACCAAGTGCGCTGACCTGCAGAACAGCAGCAAAAGCAGCCGCAGCCGCCGAGTTTTTTATTGCGCCCACAATGCGGGTCAAGTCAGCGGGGACGGATATAAAAAGGCGAGCTTTTTATTTAAGTGGATATTATTAGAGGATTGCATTGCACTCGACCTCGACTTGTCTGTGTGCCCTGTGATAAATGCTGAAGAATAATATCTATATATGGAATGCTTTAACTGACCGATTAACTGAGGGAATGATGGACTGATTGACAGTTTGACTCACAGATTATCTTCATAATAAAAGCCGAGAGTACAGACCGTATTCACTGAGAGACTGATTGACTAACTGACAGGCTGATTGACTGATTGATTGCCTGATAACTGAAAACTGCTCAATCAGACCGATAAATTTAGAGGATTGGATTTACTCGTACTCCGAAGACTACTTGTCTATGGCCTATGATAAATGCTGAGGAACAATATCTATATAGAATGCTTTGGCTGACTAACTAACTGATTGACAGATTGACTGATTGAAAGAAGCCGAAATACAAACGAATAACCAGGAAAAACAATATCTACATAAAGTGAATTACCTGACTGATTGAGTCGGAGACTGATGTACAGACTGTTTGATTGACAGACTGTCTGAAACCTTTAAAAATGATTGACTGATTGATTGATTGATTGACTAAATAATTGGTGATCTACAAAACTCAAGTTCAAATCGAACACATTTAGCATAATCTCCTACGACGTTCGGTTTACCCGCACCGGTTAACACTTGCACCGTGTTGGGTATATAAAAAATTATCTGAATGCCCCTTTTGGCTTCCGATCTGTTAACCCACTAATGTGTATATCTCCCGGCTCAGTTCAGTGCCCCGATGTGGAAATGAGTTCCAGCACCAGCAAATAAATGCGCGCAGATCCAGAAGGGCGCCTAGTTTCAATTACACACGCACTTGGCAAATGTCTCAACGGCTGGTTGGAGCTGGAGGGGCAATACGCATAAAGTATGCCCCTTCCCCCTTGCCCTACCCCCTTTCCACTGGTGCACGCTTTATCGGCTCTCCAAGCTCGAGCTCTTGCGCCTGCTTCTCCTCGTGCTCCTGTTACTGCTGCTGCTCCTGTTACAACTCCTGCTTTGGCTCTTCCTCCTCCTTCTGTTCCTGCTCCACCTACCCCTGCTTCTGCCCCTGCTCCTGCTATGCTTTACCATTTCCTCTGCAATTGTTGCGCCTTTTATTTGTTTTCTTTCTGTTGCTGTTTCTCTTATTGTTGTTGTCGTCGTTTCGTGTCATTGCCTTTGTTTGCTTTGGCAGCATTTCGCCCCTCTGCGCTGCCCCTCTCTACACTCATACACTTAGAGAAATTAAGTACGGATTATAGAACAGAACATACTTACATAAGCTGGATTCTACTAAGAAAAACACTTTTGTTAAAGGCACAAAATAGTTTTTAATAACATTTGCACATATTCTTAAGGATTTGAGATATTATAAACATTCGGTTGAGCTAAGAACTTCGTTTTCATACATTTCAGAAGCTGGCTGAATTTAATCGCAAAATGTTCTCTCAAATAAAGCACAAACTTTCTTTATTTAAGTATTTCAGCACAAATAATTGAAGATTTTTCACTTAGCCTATAGTTTACGTTCAACCAATTACATTTTACTTGGGTTTTTTCTCGCAGTGTACGTGCTGCCTTTCCCTATCACGGTCTCGTGTTTATTTTCTTTTTTATATTTTGAGCATGGCGCGCGTTACAGTTACACAAAAGCGAAAGCAGCGCAAAGAGCACGGATACGCATATTGTGCGTCCCGAAACCCCCCTCCTCCCCCCAACCCCTGCCCTGTGCACTCACCCCTTTGGTCCGGGACACGGCCGACACTCGTTAAAGGTAAAAATGTATTGTGTCTTATTATTATTTTTTTATTGACAATACGTGACGCGTACGCCAAAAAAAGGACAAAATGTGTGCGTGTGTGTTCGTGTGCGTGTGTGTGCGTGTGTGTGTGTGTCCGTCTGAGGATCCTCGCTTTGACGCATACATAAAAGGAGATTT